ACTTGCCTGGCATGGACAGCTTTGAAGGGGTCTCCAGCCATGGATGCTGCTGGAAGAAGCTGGAAAGGGCCTGGCACAGAGCCTCCCCTGGAGCCTCAGAAGGGAGCACCTGCCAACACCTTGTTTTTAGCCCAGTGAGACCCGAGTTTGACTTCTGACCTCCAGAACTATAAGGTTGTACATTGTGTGGTTTTAAGCTTGTGACAATTTGTTGCAGCAGCCATGAGGAAGGAATAGAGGTTTGTACTTTTTTTTTTTTAGGTCAAGAGAAGGCCAGAGAGAGGACTGGATAAGCAGGCCAGTCTCCAGAAGGAAGCAGGGCAGGTGTGGTTTAATGAAGGCATCAGTGCTAAGGGTCCTGGCGAGAGTCCTGTGTTCCCCACACCTCCCCCTGGCCCCTGTGCACTGCAGAAGCCAGGGAGCTGAGCACTGGGACAGTTCTTTTTTTTCTTTCAGTTTTTGGCCGGGGCTGGGTTTGAACCCGCCACCTCCGGTATATGGGGCTGGCGCCCTACTCCTTTGAGGCACACCCAGCTCTTTTTTTTTGAGACAGAGTCTCACTTTGCCACCCTGGGTAGAGTGTCGTGGTGTCATAGCTCACAGCAACCTCAAACTCTTGGGCAAAAGGGATCTTCCTGCCTCAATCTTCCAAGTAGCTGGGACTATAGGCACCCTCCACAACCCCTGGCTAGTTTTTCGATTTTTAATAGAGACAAAGTCTCAGTCTTGCTCAGGGTGGTCTCAAACTCCTGAGATCAAGGGACCCTCCTGACTGGGCCTCCTAGAGTGCTAGGATTACAGGCATGAGCCACCACACCCAGCCACTGGGACAGTTCTTACTTGGCTGATGGCTTTGTGCTCTCTGGCCTAGAAAACACCTGAAGCTGCTGAGCCCAGAGGGGCTGAAAGCTGGTTAAAGGAACCTCTCTCAGAAAATTTAGGGGGCTCTCCCTCTAGGCCCCCGTCTCCTGACTTAAACTCAACAGACATACTTTCTTCTTGGTGTTGTGTGTGACCGAGTCTCCAGCACCTGCGGATGCCCCCTCAGCCTCTCTCCCAAGGCCATCTTTTCCATTTGCCTTGCTTGGCCTCTGTTGTCCATCATTGGGTCTGTCCTGTTTCTGTCAGTGGCTGGGAGCAGAACCAAGGTCATGCGTGAAGGGCACCTCCCACAGCCAGCACAGGACCTAGTCCCCAGGAGACCCTTCAACTCTGATGACGCCCGCTATGGGCTGGATTGTGTTCCCCAGACTCACATGTTGAAACCCTTGCCCCCACTGACAGTATTTGGAGACGGGAGGTGATGACGTTTAGACCAGGGACCAGCAGGCCCTCTTGGGCAGCGTCCCACACTGCTCTCTCCTGGGCGGCTCAGCTCTGGTCTTTGAGAAATGCAGGTAGCACAGAACTGAGCTGACACCCGTGATCCCCGCAAACGAAACTCAGCTCCCTTGAACCCATCTTGAAAGGCGCAAGGCAAGGCGGGGTTTGGACGTGTGAAGGGCGAGGTGCGGACTCACGGCAGGAAAGCTGGCTCCCAAGGAAGCCCTTCACCCGTTTCCCTCACTGCTTCTTTTGCTCTGAGCCGGTTTCCCATCTCTCTCTCAGCCAAGGGTCCAAGGCCCTGAGGGCCACCTCCTCTGTGAATCTGCACGAGCAAATCTCATGACCTTGGCTCCTTGTGGAATGGGAAGAATCCGCCATACTCTTAACGCCCTCTTAGTCGGCAGTTTATGGAGATGTTACTTGGTGCCAGGCACTGTTCTAAACAGTTCAAATGTGAGATTGGGGGGATTTCCACCACCCTTACTCTCATCTTGAGGAAGAGCTGTCCTTTCCCCTCAAGACCAGTAAAAACAGCCAGGGGGACAGGGGAAGGCCTTTCGTAATGTGATCAGAAGTGGAGAAGAGTTACTGAGATTCTATTAGTAACCTGCCACTAGAGAGTTACGCTAATGTCGCTTGATCACTTTGGCCATAACACAAGCCCATAACCTGTAGGGCTCTAACAACAGATGTTTTTTTTCTCACTGTTCTGGAGGCTGGCAGTCCAAGATCTGGGTGCCAGCAGGTTGGTTCTCTTTCTGGCTTGTAGACGGCCACTTTTTTGCTGTGTCCTCACATGGGAGAGAGAGAGAGAGAGCAAGCCCTCTGGTGTCCCTTCTTCCAAAGCACTAAACCCTAAACTTCATCTTCTCTCAGAGGCCCCATCTCCAATTGCCTTCACATTGGGGTGGGGTTTCAATACGTGAATCTGGGGCAACACAATCCAGCCCATAGCGGACCTGGAGACCCTCCAGCTGTCAGAGTTGGAGGGTCTCCTGGGGACTAGGTCCTGCGCTGGTGTGAAAGGTGCCCTTCACTCATCACCTCTGCACCTGCTCCCCGACAACTGACAGAAATCGGGCAGACATGATGATTGACAATTTAGGCCAAACAAGACCGGGGAACCCACCAGGTTCTGGGGGGCCATCCCTGCTCCCCATCCAAGAAAGATTATTACTGGTCTGCAATTGGGAGCTGGAACTTAAGAATCTGTGTCCTTTTTTCTAGACTTCTCCCATCGTTGACTATTTGGCAACAGTGAGGGCTTTTCCTCTTGCTCTGATAAGAAAGGTGGGGGAAAGGAGGGACACACATGAACTCACACACAAAAAAAGCTCACTCAATCCCTACCCATCCTGAAAGGCAGTAACAGTTAGGTTGAGCCATAGTACGTGGCCCTTTCTGTAGGTGAACAACACCTACAGAATGTAAACAGTTTCACACAGTGTAAGCTAGTACTGCCAACAGTGCCATTATACAAATGAGGGCACTGGGGCTTTGGAAGGTTAAGTCATTTGTTCAAGGTTATACATTTAGTAAGTTTGGGAGCTTGGATTTGAACAGGAGCCTACGTCTAAACCCTGCCAAGCTGCCATCCCCGGTGGCAGGGACCCCTGTTGGATATCGAGAAGTAATAAGCCTGGATAAGAATGAGTTCTGATGCCAATTTGAGACCTGTGTGACAGTCACCAGGAGCCACCAAAGAAAGGTTCACACCGGGGAGCAGCAAGAAGGTCAAACAGGGACTTGATAGGGAAGTAGGAAGGTAAGAGCAGGATGAAATTTACTAGGATCTCCAGATGCTGGCCGGAATGGTCAGAGGAAGACGCCGGTTCATTCTTGGGGTCTCCTGTCCTTGGCAAGCTGGCTAGCACATAGGGTACTCAATAAATGCCCATTAAGAGCAGAACTAGACAGATTAAATTAGAAAATTGTTCCTAGGCAGCAAAGAACCACCATGTGAACAATGTGGGGTTTCCAGAGAAGTTCTAATGAACACCAGTCTCTTGTGAGCAACTCCAGTAATGCACACACTGACACCTACTGCCGGCCAGCTGCTGACTTCCTGTGTGTGTTCAGCTCGTTTTCATCCACGTGGAGTGCTGAGTGGGAAATCCAGCACACATCTTTGCAGCAGCAAACAGCATTTGTAAGTAAGTCAATCTGTGCAGAGCTTAGGGGAATAGTTACAAGAAGATATGAGTGCAAACATGCAGAGAACTGAGTTCTAAGGTGCTCTGATTCCTGGCAGCTCCATCTCACATCACAGGAAACATATTAATACTTTCCCAAATTCTCTAAATAATTTTTTTAAAAAGAGTCTGAGCTTTAAAAAAATAGCTTTAGTTTGAAATTATTTGGGGACAAGGAATTCACGTACTTTGTGACTCTTTACAGCTTCCTGGGATTCATGGCATTAGGAAATTTGTAACAAGTTATTTCTAACTTAGGAATGGCTTTCAGTGAAACATTTATCTAGCAATAAATTACAAACATGAAGTTCACATGTTTTGTGGACTCTTAAAACATTCATTCATTTTCAAATTTACAGTGTACTTTTGCTATTGTGGGGGGGCAATAAAATTTCTTTTTCAATCTCAAACATTTTCATAGGTCCTGAAAAGCCCGGAGTGAAATAGCACCGGCTGCTGGTGTTTGGCCAATTGGGCCATAAAATCCAGTGATTTTTCTTTTTCCTTCTATTGCCAGGACTTTCTTCCTCGTTTCTTTCTCTAGAGGAAGAAACCTCGTCTCCCACCTCCAGGAATTGTGAATAAATTCCTGTTCACAAGGGGAGAAGCGGACACCAGAGGCTCAGGCCTGCGGGGTGCGGGTGGGGGCTCCTTAACACTCCGAAGTGTCCGGGTTTAAAGGATTTATGACGTCGTCTTCCCAAGTGGACCTTCTAATTAGATGCTCTGTTTAATCCTCATCTTCAGCGGGCACTGGCTTCAGACACGTTTTTTGCTGGCATTCCCTTGCCACTCCCAGTCAAGTGCAGGTGACTGGTCATTTATGGCCCCTTTGTAAATGGTCTTTCCTTTCCACATTCTGTAATAATTACCCACGTGGAATAAAGCCTACAGGGTCGTAACCATGAAACTGCTTGATAACCACTGATTACTGGGGGTTGGATTGTGAACCGGGGTGGGGGTGGACCTAGTGGCTTTTAATTCTAATTGATGGTGACAAGCGCGGGCAGGTGCAGGTTTGCACCGTCAGGACACGTGCAACTAACGACTTCCTCAGGGCGCGTGGGGCTTCCACGCAGCTTCACGAACGCCAGCCACACTCGCGGGCGGACACATCCGGGTCACTCTGCGGGGGCCACAGGGCCGGCGGCGGCATTGACCCGCTGTGACCTTGACCCCTCGGAAATTCCTGGGGAACCACCCCTCCCACACCACCGCCGGTCCCCGATGTGAGCAGAAAGACTCTGTCGCCTGTTCTAGAAGAAGCCCGGGATCTGGCAGCCGCCAGACCCAAGCCGGGGCTAAGTGATTTCTCGGAAAACCGGGCTCTTAGAGAAAGCGGACGAGGCACACCGCTCAGAGCGGGCGACGGCCACGCCCCTCCCACTCCCCATTGGTCGGCGGGGCCGGCGCTCTGCGCGCCCCGCCTTCCATCGGTAAAGGCGCGCGCCGGCGCGGGCGGCGAGCGTGGGAACGCGGACGGCGAGCGCAGACCCCCGGCGGCCAGGCGGCGGTGCCGGGCAGTGGCGGCGGCAGGTAGGCACCCTCGGCGGGTCTGCTGGGTCCCTTGCCCGGCCGGGCGCCGGAGCGCGGTTACGGTAACGTCCCCTGCGGTCGGGCTCTGTGTGTGCTTTCTCCTTCCCAGCGGCGGGGCGCGGGCGGACAGTCCAAGTAGTTGATGATCGTTTGCTTGCCTGTTCCCAGAGACTGGTTGATGCTAAAAAATTCTTATTTTCCTCGAAATCTGGTCTACATGGAAAACTTTAGAAAGGCTCATGATGAAGGAAATGGCTACCTCGTTGTTACAGGACCTGCTCCTCCATCCCTCTGAAATCCTACTAGATGGAATAAAGCTTGGAGGGTCACAGTTTTGAAACTGCCCAGGAACCAGCGATTACAGAGGGTTAGAGGGGGCGGGGGGCGCATACTGCAGGTTTTAAAATTCTGATTAATGACTAGTCAGTGTAGATTGCCAGGTGCGGTTTGCAGTTCTTTGCAGCGTCCTGGAGACAGCCCGTGTGCTCAGTGGGCTCAGCTCACAGAAACACCTTGTGGTGGTAAAATGAGCCCCAGGGCTTAGGACAGACTTTCCAAGGTGAGATGGATCACTTACTCAGAGCCCCAAAGGGCTTTAGAAATGGAAACTAGAGACTGAATTTTCTAAAACTTTAAATTGTCCCCCCCCCAACCTTTCATCTTCTGTGATTCACTCTTTCTCTTACCATCTTTCTCTTTCTTTTTTTCCTATTTCTTATAAATTACTAAGACAGTTTAACAGTTTTGAGGTTATGAACGCTTTAGGAATCTCGATGAGAAAGTGTTGACCTTCTTTCTAGAAAAGCGTCCAGTGTAGGATAAGAGCTAGTAGTTAAATGGTGGTGCTAAGTTTGTCTTTTTGGGGATATGGCAGGTTCCTTTATGAAAAGCTTTGGGAGATTCGGTGGCTTGAGGAAGGTTGGGGCTTTGATGTTTTTCAGTCTAATGGTGACAGGGTGTGCCGTAGCCAGAGTAAGTGCCGGGGGCCCTAAGAGGCAGGGAGGTGAGTCCTGTTGCGGGCCAGATCAGATACATCCTGGATTGGGCAGGGCCCAGGGCAGCCTCTTATCACTTTCCTTCTGGGAAGCCTATGCCCTGGATACCTTTTATAGAGATACAGATTAGCTCCAGATAGGACTTGGCCAAGAGAGGGAATTATTACCTCAAAATCAAGGAAGAGGAAGTTATAAACATGTGACTGGGTTATTAATTTTTCCTGGCTTGGGCATTTGGTGGAACTAATTTGTTAGTGTTTAATAAATCATTATGGATCATTGTTGTAATAGGATCTTAGACTCTTGATGCTACTTAGAAATGGAAGTGATCACAGATGGGCTTGAGACAGAGCTGGGCATATCCTGAGGTCTAGCAGCATTGCTGTAGCTTTTGGCTGAACAGTGAGTAAAACCAGCCATCACCAGGGCTGGGGACAGTGTGAAGGCTGACAGTCTGCCAGGTGCCACGGTCTTGGCTGTCTCTCTCTGGGCCCCAGTTTTTCCTTTTGCTGAATGAAGAGGGGGCTGGAGTAGATGATTTCTGAAGTATTGTCCAGCTTTCATATTCTGTGATTCACTCTTTCCCTTTTTTCTCTTTTTCTTATAAATCACTAAGATAATTGTCCTTAACAGTTTTAAGGTTGTGAACCCATTAGGCATCCTGACAAGAAAGTGTTGACCTTTTTCCTAGAAAAATGCCTGTACTAACAGAATTTTGCTTTTGCTTTTGGGAGGCTCGGGGATCATGGACTCTAGTTTGAGAACTGTGTTGTAAGGGGACGAGGGCAAATGTCTCATTTAACTGACATATTCTCCGAGGCCAGCCCCCATCCTGCTCCACACAGCTCTCTCCTCAAGTTAGAAGTTCTGTGTGAACAGACATCAGAACTGTTTTGAAGGGAAGTTTTTCCCCAGGGAAGAGCTGCGGGGATAGGCACCTTGCTCAGTTGCTTTGGGGGGTACTTGCTGGTGGTGTTTCATTTCTCTGTCAAGGCACCCCTCCCAAATTTGTCCCTTCTTATTTATCAACACATAGCCTGTTTTAGAATTCTGGGTCTCTTGAGATAGCTCCCTTCACTTTGCAGGTGAGGTAGCCTCACAGAGGGGTTCAAATGACTCCCCAAGGTCCAGTTAGAAAAAAAGCCTTGGCCAGAGTCCAGAGTTTCCAAATCAATGGCAAACTTCATGCACTTTATCCCCTTTTAAATCCAGCGTGGGCAGTTGGGGTTACTGGATGGAGAAATTAAAATTGACAGAAGTTAAAATTAGGGCAGACTGCTGGGTGCCTATAATTAACCCTGAATCTCAGCCCAGATAGGACAGCTCCTGCCCTAAGGCTAAATGATGATCCAGGGTCAACTTGTTGATAGGTGGTGGTACCAGCGGGACCTCACCTTCCTCCCTGGAGCCTGGCCCCTTTTCCCATCCCCTCAGCCACCTGCAGGGGCTGGAGTTTCCAAAACACATAACCTCTTGCAAAGGTTGCTATTATTTCACTTCGTGGACCAACACAGCTCTGGATGTGACCATATTCTTGGGGACATTACGTCTTGTCACTGCTGATTGTTTCAAACTCGTTTGCCTACAGAGGTCACATTTTAATCAGAAAAATAGACATGCTATTTTTTTCTTTTGGGTGGGCGTCTGTCCAACTGCCTAGGGGATTTCCAGCCCTGTTCTTGTAAGTGCTGGCTGTAAGTCGATACGGCCTGATAGTTCTTTCTTTTTCTCTGCCATTGGGAAAGCTATCTGCTTGGGCAAGAATGTCCTTTCAAAGGATGTCACTGAGTGGCCTGGATGACTAGGTCCCTAGAGGATGGAATCTTCTGGAAGATGCTATTGTCTTTTGTTCTGTAGCCCCATTATTCCTTCACTCTTATCCCTGTCTCTCAGTCCTAAGAGTTCACAAGGAGGAAAGTGTGGTAGTAACAGAAACATCCAATGTCTGAGGTCCCGGCACTGTGTCAGTGCTTTCTGTGTCACCTGAATTCTCCTGATAGCACTGCCAGGTGCCTGGAATTACCCCCAAACCCTACTGGGATGGGACAGTTCATGCCCCAAGGATAAATGATGATTCGAGGTCACCTTGCTGAGAGGTGGTGGGACTTGAATGGGACCTCAAATCTCTCTCATCCTCAAACTCATGCCCTTATCCCTGAACCGGCTGTAGAGGAACCACATAGAAGGCTTACCTGCGAGGGTTTCCTCTTTTCCCTAGATGGCACAGATGCTGTATTTTGTTGGAAATTGGTTCTTAAAAGAATGGGATGTGCGGGGGCAGGGAGGACCTGATGCTGTGGAAGTGAGTGTGCCCATCTCCTGCTGAGAGTGGAGCGAGGCGGCGTGGATGTGTCTGCCCGGAAGGAAACACCGGGTGGGTGCCGGCTGGAAGAGCGCAGTGGGAGCTGCAGGAGAGGCTCACGTGGGTTTCCCATGGGGCTTTCAGTTTTCATTCAGGCCTTTGAGATCATGAAGGCTAGCACTGTCTGATCACAGCAGGTGGCCCAGAGTCCCAGGATCTGTGGGCTTCCCCCCAAGCCAGCACTTTCATTGCAAACCTCTGATTTTCCTGTAAGTGGTTTCTGGGTTGCTGACCCCTGAGACAGTGTCCGCAGCATCCCAGAGTGTGTTTCTGTCCTCCCAAGGATGTGTGACCGAAATGGGGGACGGCGGCTCCGGCAGTGGCTGATCGAGCAGATTGACAGCAACATGTACCCCGGGCTGATCTGGGAAAACGACGAGAAGGGCATGTTCCGGATCCCGTGGAAGCACGCTGGCAAGCAGGACTATAACCAGGAGGTGGACGCCTCCATTTTCAAGGTACAGCCCCAAACCCCACCAGCTTGAGCCCACCTTCTATTGCCCCTCATGGACCTGACGGAGTGTTGGGTGACATCTTTCTGGTTTGCTTAAAAATTAATCCAGTTTTTTTAAAAAAAACAAATACCAGTTGAAGAGTACTATATCCCGAAAATGTCCATTAGCTGATTTTACGTCTGTCCAGTTATTTAGTTACTTTTGAGGTCATTTGTATTAGTGGCATTTTTCTGATGAGGAAATTGAGGGCACATTCCTCACTTGCTGAATTTCCTTTTTGTGAGGACTAACTAGCCATGGGAGGGGAAAGACCTTTCCCCGGGGCAGCTGGCAGAGGTGATGCAGGGCACCAGGGAAGGGTTGCGTCTTCAGCCTGAGGCCCATCGGGATCTCACAGTCACAGGTCTTGTAGGAAGGAGCCAGTGTTTGGGTGCACACAGTCTAACTGGGATCCAGACAGAGAAGTTCTTGCCATTATACCCAGACTTGGGCAGAAGAACCAGGAATGGGGCAGCCCAGCTCTGCAGACCTGCTGGGTCATCAGAGTCTCCTGTGGGCATCTCTAAGGCTCCCGGTGTCTGGGTTTCACCCTGGGCAGTTTGGAGTCCTAGGTCAAGGTCAGTGAGACTTTCACGTTTGCAAACATATGTTCCATAGGTGGTCTGACCCAGAGCCTGTGTGGCAAGTCACGTGTGCTTATTATTTTGTGGGCATTTGGGGGTGAGGATGGGGAAGAGGCAGTGAGTGTGGGTCTCAGACCTGAGACCTTGAGCAGATGGGGAGGGGCAAGGCTACAGGACCCCAGAGCAGCGCTAGCCCCTCAGCTGTGGACCATTGTCTTCTGACACCAGAGAACAAAAGTGACAACGATCACATTTGACTCCAGAGTGGAGCAGAAATAGGTCCAGGTTGGGGCAAGGTGCGTCTCAGCCCTTCAGGTCTGTGCAGGCTGATGCATGCTGTGGGGCTGTGCATTTTCGAAGTTCTGTTAAACCCGTAATTTGGGTTTGCCAATCTCGTTCAGAGTCGGATGCTGGTTACTGACTATCCCAAGAAAAATGTGCATATGGGAGTGTCTTGCACGCCCCTTCAAGGAGGTCCCATGGTTCCCAAGTGTCCTCCAAATTCCTTCTGACCAAGGACGCCAGGTCTGAGAGCCTGGACACTGCCAGGTTTTGTAATCCCAGGGCTTGCTTTCTAGCTTGAGGTGCCCTTGCAGACTTCTCTCCCATTTGATCGAAGGTTTTTTTGTGCCTTTGGCGTCCTGGTGAAGTTATCCTGGGAATGACTGCAAATTTAAACAGTGCCTAAGTCCCACCCTGCAGGTTGGGAGTTCTATATTGTAGCTAACCTTAAAGGACATAGTTCCTTAAGCTCAGCACTGGTGACACCTCAGGTTGGGTAATTCTTCGCAGCTGTCCTGTGCCTGGTAGGATGTTGAGCAGTATCCGTGGCCTCTACCCACCACGTGCCAGGAGCCCCCTCTCCCCTCAGTGTGATGCCCAGAAACATCTTAGACCTTGCCAGATGTCCCCTGAGGGGCAGAGCTTCCCCTGTTCCATCAAGAGCCCTGCTGTGTGCTGACCACAGCCAGAGTGGACAGACTTAGCCAGAGGCATAGGGTACAGTTGAATATCAGTAAAACATCTTGAGGAGGATGGCAGAGAGTGTGTGACCAGTGGCCCTGGTGTGCCACTGCCAGAGGAGATGCAGGCTTCTCCCTTCACCCTGTTCTAGGGGCAGTGAAATAGAGCCCCAGATTTATCTGTCTTATGCAATGCTCTTCATAGCCGTTTCAACAGCCTTGAGAAAAATGTGCAAGATTCCCAATGTTTCCGTTGGTTACGCAGTTGCTTGATGTGGCAATCTGAAATGAGTCTACAATCTCAGCAGGAATGGGGGCAGGAGGGAGACTCAGTGCCCACCTGAGTGAGGAGGCCACTGGGTGGCTGCACCGATGCAGACAGGGCATCAGCAGGAGCCTGCCGGGTGCTGCCTGAGCTCCGAGGTGCAGCTGTGCACCGTCGAAGTCCGCAGCAAGGCCTTGGTCAGACAGAGCCGACCTAGGGCTTTTCTGGTTAAGTGGAGACCTGTTTCTTTCAAACAAAGAAAACCTTTCAAAAATTTAAGAATTAAGGACAAAATACAGAAATTTTGTTTCCTGCCTTAATAAGTGGATCTTAAGAAACCACTCAGGCCTGGAGAACACTCCACTGCCTGCAGGCATCATTCAGAGGCCAGTGTCATGGTGCAGACCCCAGATGGGAGATTGGAACAAACATTTAGCTCATTTTATACCAGCCCCCAGTACACAGAGGGGGCCCCGTACCAGTTCATGTATCAGAGCTCTCACTGCCTCTCATCCGCCCCAGTGAGCTAAATCTTACCTAGCGGCACAGATAGTATTTCAAGTTCAGTAGGCCTAGAAGGAAAAAAAATAGCATTTAATTTGTACAACACAATATGAAACATGAAGTTAAGTCGGGAAGACTCTGTGGTCCCAGTTTAACGCGGCTGCCCACGCCATGCCTTGACAGGAGAGAGATGGTGGAGGCCAAACGAGCCACCGTGACCCATGTCGATGGCCTCAGAATCACTCTAGTTTTAGCTTCAGCCAATGAGGCATCTCGAGGTATCAGCCGACTAACTTGAGTTTTTGGAGCTGGCTAGAAAGGTCCCTGGAGGGACTGTCCCTGCTGTGTCACGGGGCTCAGGGCAGGCTGCCAGCTGGGCACCCAGGATGCAGCCGAGCCATGGGGCCCTGCTGTGATTGACGGTGTGTCCTGACCTTCCTCATGGGCTGAATGTGAGCTTTCCATGAACAGGCGGAGATGGCCGTGCCTCACAGCTGCGTGCCCCAGGCCATAACACTGCCGTAAAAGCTGTGTGCTTCAAGGGCCACTTGGAATATGAGTTAATCTAGTGGTTCTCAAATGGGAGTGGTCACAGTATTACCTCCCTGGGGACACTTGGGCATGTCTGGAGACAATTTTGGTTGTCACAGCTAGGGAGAGTGC